CGAAAACGAAGCAAACTTGCTTCCATACACTATCTTGGTCTTCATATCCTTCAATAATGTCAATTAACTAGTGTGAGTCAACAAAAGTTTGTATCTACTGTCAGTCAAGATGTCTCAATGTTTGGTGTTACTACGTTTTTTTCGTATGTTAGTAGAGTTTCGAAACTATCAGTTATATTACCACCCATTGCCCTAATCACCGCTTGCATTTTATCTGGCATCGAGTCTACACATTTTTGCATAATTTGAGAATCACACTTTTAGAGAATCCCAGAGATTGTTTTGTGATACCACACTATGCTCATATTCTTTCCTACCGAATTTTTTCAAAAATGTTTAATATGGTCAAGGTCTGCCGGGAAGGAAGGAATTGGTTCTTCTTGTTGGTCAAGACAGAACAGTATCTGTATCCAGGATAAATGTATAAATATGAGTTGTATTCATCGCATTTAGTTTATGATTATAAAGGCTTGGTAGTTTTATTATTTCCACAATCATATGAGCTGACGCTTCCATTGAATTGCAAAAAGGTATTCTCATCCCGTTAGAAGTGGACGGCAGACTTGAACCATGACATTGCGGTGTATAATCTCTAGGTTCAACGAAATATGGTGAGCACAACTCATATATCTGATTTACTGCTTCATAGACAATCCAACTACAGAATGTGATATGGGAACATGCCTGGCCATCCTTGAAATACACAACGGCCCTCTGACCCAAGTGTACCAGTGTCAATGTGATGTAGTTGTTAATGTGTCGGGATTATACTCTGCAGTGTCATCGTTCGAGTCCCGCTGGGGTTGTTGATAAGACTTAAACGAGGTCGAAGCCGCAATCCACTTCCGCGGGGATGAGAATACTCTTTGGGAAAGCAATTGAATGGAAGCGTCAGCTCTACTCAGAGCATTGTGAAAAAAGAAAAAAACTTTTAGTCTTTTAGCATCATAAACGAAATACACATGACTTAGTGGTTGTCCCGAAGACCTACTGAAAAACGAAAAATGTGTATATCTAGTCTTAAACCGTAGATTTTATGAGGTATATGGTGATTTTGTTAGTTCATATCATATACCAAACTTGTGGCATGTGTGTGTACCTGCGTCCATGTATGCTCAAGTGTAAGATGCCGGCAGTGGTAGCTCCAGGTTATATGGGTAGAGCTTGACCTCTGCCCTCGGTCGTCAAGTTTTGATGACTTTTTAATTATAATCCAGTCTGCGCTGATGAGTTTTTTTTATTTTGCATGTATATGCGTGAACTCAGGCCTATATAAAGTTTCATCGTAAAAATATTCGTGACCATAAAAAGACAAGCGTTAAGCTCACTTCCATTTCGAATGAAAGTGTGCGATGAATAGATTCGAAGGTCGTCCTCACGACAAGACGACGGCGGATTTCTTTTAGTCAACTGTCGGTTCCGGCGAAAACACCTTAAACTGTATGTCATAATGCAGAGGTCCTTGATGCATAGTATCATACTTACGAGGATATTCCATCTGATGAGTCAGGCAAACCCATCCTCTTAACTCTACATGTAGTCCAAACCTATGCATTTTGATGGGGCATAGAATTGTAAGCCTAAAATCACGTGTGTGTGTGTGTGTGTGTGTGTGTGTGTGTGTATGCTCATGCTGGGCTTATCTACAATTTCATAGACAGCTAAGAATGAAATCAACAGTGGCTATTACCGCGCAGCGTAGCACCTCGCCTCAATCATCAAAGTCTAATTACCCCATCATTTAATCTGTCTCTCCGATCGCATAATGTAGGAGACATCTCAAGTCAAGCTGCTGAGCTTTTCATTTTTGCCTACGACTGATTTTACGCTCTGTTCCAATAATTCGTTTGAGCTATCACTGCTGATATTGTACCTAAAAATACACTTTGAAGGGAGCACACAAACATGCACATGCTAATACTTCTAGAATAGCATATGATTTCAATTTATTAAATCACGTTATAACTTATATTTATATATATTATATATATATATGTGTATATATAGCATGTGTCGGTTGACTTGGTTTTATTGAAACTATTTTTGAAGCATGAATCAAACTTGAATGTCCTCCTTCCGTTTCACAGTTTCGCCCATTTGGGCCAGAATCAGGGAAAATTGCCCTGAGGAAAGCGCCAACTTAAAATGTCCATTAAAGTGATATTTACTGGCATCTTAAAATCCCCTTAAGACTAAGTTGGTATTTACAAATTACTGGGCTCACTAATTCTAATTCAAGAGGTTCCTCAAAGTATTTTAATCTTAATCTTTCTATGCTTATTTGTGTTAACTTTTTCCTTCAAATTCTGCTTCTATTAGTCGATCCGACGACGGGTAGTGGGACGGCGACAGTACCCATGAACTGTGCAAATGCAATCTTGAACATTTTGCTTCTCGGCCTAGCGTCGTCGGGGTTCATGTAGATTCGAGCACTCTGCCCATCTTCCAAACCGGCCAGCCATTCCGTTGTGACAAGCCTCCCTGCCTTGTTGGCGGTTGTAGCATGTGTCGGTTGACTTGGTTTTTGTTTAATCTCTTTTCGAACCGTGAATAAAGCTTGAATGACCTCCTTCTGCTCTGGGACTAGTCCGATTGCTGAAGGGAAGATGCACACGTTCGTGATTCGAGGATGATTGTAACCGGGTGTTGGTGTTTATGCGCATCTTTTTTGTGGAGTTGTCATCGAGGGAACTTTGCAGTCCCTGCAAAAAACAGCTTCGTCTCGTTCCAGGTAGACTGTATGTCAATAGGTCGTCACTGGCAAACGTAGAAACATGTCGAAAACACCATCGCCGAATGGCGACAGAGATTGAAATTGCGCTCTTCCAAGTTGGCAGAAGCAGGCCGGCGGCAATCGTGAAAAGTCTTCAAAAGGTATTGTTTGATGCATGTCTC